AACATAAATTTCTATTCATATTTATATTTATTAAAAAGAGTGACTAACCTTAATTATCAAAATGATAAGGGTAACGGGAATTCATGTCGGCATCGGCCTCCCATGTTGCACCCGCAACTAGGTGATTTTTACATAACACCTTTACGGAAACCACCTCTTTATTCCTCAAATTCTTTACATGGCCTATCAAGAATTTTAGCCATAACTTCCTCATAAGAAAGGTTATCCTTGACACCAAGACCCTCTATCGGAAGAACGGACTCGGGATCACCGATACACTTCTTCAACATAGAAACATGGAAAACTGGAAGAACCGAGCTAATTCACTAGGAAGTTTTAATTCATTGGCAACCTTTCCAACCCTTTGCAAGATTTCATAGGGAACCACATAATGAGAACTATAATTCCCATTATTGCAAAATGTAATCACCCCTTTCATTGGCGAAATTTTCAACTAAACCTTATGACCTTCTTCAAACTCCAAATCCATTCTCCTATGATTGACATAAGTCTTTTGGTCACTATAGGCCGTTTAGACCCGGTTCCTTATGATATGAACCTTTTCCAAAGTCTTATAAATCAACTTGGGACAAAGAAGCGATGCCTCACAAACTTCAAACCATCCAATAGAAGACCTACACCTCCTACCATAAAACGCTTCATAGGGCACCATGAAAATGGATAAATGAAAACTATTATTATAGGAAAACTCCACCAAAGGTGAATGTTTATCCTGATTCCCTTTAAAATCAATAATGCACGCCTTAAGCATATCTTCAAGGTTTTGTATCTTACTCTCAGCTTTATCATCCATTTGGGGATGAAAAATGGTGCTCAACTTCACTTTAGTGCCCAACCTTTTTTTGAATTACCTCTAAAATCTAGATGTGAATTGTGTGCCCCGATCAGATATAGATAACGGAATGCCATGGCAGCACACAATCTCGTCTATGAATATTCTTGCATAATGCTCCGCCGAACATGTAGACCTTACAGAAATAACATGAGTGGATTTAGTTAATCAATCTATCACTACCCATATGGAATCATATGACTTTTGTGTCAGAGGTACATCTACTAAAAAGTCCATATTGATGTATTCCTACATCCAAGTAAGAATTTGGATCTCTTGTAGTAAGCCACACGATTTTTGGAATTTGACCTTTAATTGGTTGTAATTCAGACACTTAGCCACAATTCCGCTATGTCCCTTTTTATACCTTCCCACCTATATATATCCTTAGGTCATGGTACATTTTTGTGAATTGAGTAGCGGGACCCATGTGCTTCTTCTAGGATCCGATCCCTCAACCCTTATACTTTGGGAAAACACAATCTCCCTTGGTACCTTAGCACACCATTCCCCCCTAAGGAGAATAATTCATTCAACTTACCGGGAACCGATTCTTTAAACTCTATTAAGGCTAGATAAAGGTGTTATTTGGACTTCACCTCAACCACTAGAGATGACTAAGAGTTAAGATGAACTATAGAGCCTCTCTGCAGAGAGATTTCCAACCTCACCCCAACCTATCCAACCTGTTTACCTCCCTTGCTAGGTCCCTCTTGTCTTCGTCAAGATGGGATGCACTACTCATAGTCATATGACTTAGGGTATCCGCAACTACATTAGCCTTGCAAGGGTAATAAAGGACACTCATATCATAATCTTTCACTCCAGCAAACTTCTTTGTCGGAGATTTATCTATTTTTGGTTAAACTATATTGTAGACCCTTATGATCGATAAAGACATCAACATGAACCCCATAGAAGTAATGCCTCAAAATATTAAAAGCAAACACCATGGATGCTAACTCAAGGTCACGAGTGAGATAGTTTATCTCATGTACCCTAAGTTGCCTAGAGGCATAGGCTATCACTTTCCTGTGTTGCATAAACACATAACCCAAACCCACTTGGGATGCGTCAAGATACACAACAAAACCGTTTGTACCATCCGATAAAGTCAACCTCGGAGCCGAAGGGAGCCTATCTTTCAACAAATGAAAACATTTCTCACATGCCTCCGACCACTCAAACTTTTTACTCTTTTGCATCAAAGTAGTCAAAGGAGATGCAACAGATGCAAAACCATCTATAATCCTCCGATAATAACCTGCTAGACCAAAGAAACTCCTAATGTCGGTTGGACACAATGGTCTAGGCCAATTTTCACCGCTTTCATTCTCCTTGGATATACCTCAACTACCTCACTATAGATGATATGCCCAAGAAATTTCACCGACCTCAACCAAAACTTACTCTTACTACATTTGGCATACAATTGATGTTCTTTATGGGTTTGAAATGCCACCCTCGAATGACCCATATGATCACCCTCATACTTCGAATATACCAAGATATCGTCAATGAACACAATGACAAATGAATCTATGAAATTTCAATATAGTATATTCATTAGGTCCATAAACGCCGCCGTAGAATTAGAGATAGAGAAAGACATGTCAAGAACTCATATTTCCAAAACCTAGTCCAAAAGCCTGTCTTTGGCATGTCCTCACCTCTCACCCTGACTTCGTGATACCCCGACCTCAAGTCTTGTTTTAAAGGTAGCTCACCCTTGGAGGTTATCAAACAAGTCATCAATCCGAGGAAGAGGGTACTTATTCTTAATAGTGGCCTTGTTGAGTTTGCGGTAACCAATACACATTCTCAAAGACCCATCTTTCTTCTTCACATACAAAACTGGAGCACCCCAAGGAGATATATTAGGCCTCATAAAACACTTATCTAGTAAATCCTTGAGGTGAGCCTTCAACTTCTTTAACTCGGCCGGAGCCATCCGATAAGGAGAGATTGATATGGGATTTGTATCTTGTATCAAATCAATGCCAAAGTCAATTTCCCATTCGGGAGGAATACTGTGAAGGTCATTAGTAAAGACCTCTGAAAATTCACTCTCCTTGGGTACCGACTCAATTGGAAGAACTTCGAAATCTAGATCTTGGAATCTTACTATATGATATAGAAAATTTTTTGAGATCATTTTGTATGTTTCAGATAAAAAATAATAAGACTTGTAAGAATTGAATCTCCCCCCTTCCACTCAACTATGGGTTCATTTTTAAAGTTAAACCTCACAACTCTTGTCCTACAATTAATAAAGGCAATACATGCATGCCAAATATCCTTACCCAATATAATATAAAAATCAATCATATATACACTTTTTACAACAACTCACTTATCCACCAGAGTAGACAATTTCTATACACACTTTTTGCAACAACTGACTCACCCACCAGAGTAGACACTATAAAAGGTTCATGCAAAGTATAGGGTAAAATATCAAACCTTTTCACTACTAGAGGTGTCACAAATGATAAAGTAGCACCAGGATCAAGTAATGCATATAGATAAATAAAGAAGACTTTCAACATAACGGTCACCACGTTGGGAGAAGTCTCTTGCTCACCCCTAGAACGGAGATCATAAAAGCAGTTCTTTTTTGGAGCATCACTAGAACCACTAGCTTGGGCTTGACCGCTAACCTTGTCTTGACTATTAAACTTTGGACAATCTCTCATCTTGTGACCACTCTTGACACAACTAAAGCAATTATCAGTCCCCTTAAGACAATCACCATAGTGCTTTTTACCACACTTTTCATAAGCTAGCTTACCATTTGGTTAATTAGTACCTTGTCTCTTCTTGAATTTAGGGTTATACACTCTATCACCACTAGCTTTTAGGAATTTGGAAGCGACTTGATTAGAAACCCGCTTCTTAAATCTAGGCTTGTCTAGTATTTAAAGCCTATTCTTTGAAGAACCTCAATCATATGTCCTTTCTCTCTTAGCATCTCTACTCTTTCACTAAGCCCTTGCCTCCTCAACCTTTCATGCATGCACCATAAGATGGAAAATGTTCATGTTGTCGTGTAGAATTTCTGAATGACACTCCTCTTATAAGACCTACGACACCCCCATCAAAAACAACTCATTTAGTCTATAGGAGCGGAGTCCAAAGAAGGATCATATTTTTATAAATTAAGGAATTTCAAAGGGTACTCATGGACACTCCTTCCTCCTTGGTGAAGATTAATGAACTCCACCACTTTTTCCTTTCTCATCTCCCTAGGGAAGAAACGGTCTAGAAAATCCGCCTTAAAGACCTCACAAGTCATCAGACCACCCCTCAATTTCCTATTATCCCTCTATTGCACATACCATGCTAGCGCCACGTTCTTTAGTTGATAAGTGAAAAACTCGAACTTCTAACTTTTGGACAACCCCATAGCCAAAAATTTATTAGTGATCTCATCGATGAATTCTTGGGGTCTTCATCAACCTTAGACCAATAGAAAGATGGAGGGTTCATTCGAGTAAAGTCCATTAGACTGGAGACCATAATAGTGACTTGTTGATGAGGATGGGGGATACACTCTCGATTTGCTTGATTCATCATAGTTTTGGACATTTAAAGAAGAGTGGTCCTTATACACGCATATTTAAAAGGAGGATTGGATGATGCTTGCTCCACATTATCCTCTTCTTAAAGTGGAGGAACATGCTCACCACGGGGTGGAGCTCATGCATTGGCAATTTTCTCTTAAAGTCTTCGCGCTGCATTTCTTCGAGTGTTCATGCTTCCTATAAGCACAACAATATCATTAGATATAAAAGAACACCATAAGTATACTTTATCGGCATGATATAAAATTTCCTAGAAAGAGAGCGATTCCTAAGCATCATATATATTCCTACTCATAATTGTGGCGCGCTTCATGATTATGAATGCAAAACTTACATAGTCGTTGTAGAGAGAGAGTAATAGATCAACAATGTTCAAATTCATGCTCTTATACTAGATTTGACAAATTTAGGTTTACCCTGTGGACGTAACCGACGTCGTCGTCCTTTTAAAGGACTAAGTCTACCTTCTTAGTCTCATGTCATTACATTCATAGGTTAAAAAATGCGGGAAAAAATTTTGAACTTTCATTATCACTATATTGAGGTTTACATAGACCTCTACATACACATAATATGCTTTCATATAAAGTATGCATAGACTCTTCATATAAGAAAGTTACATAGCCTTCTACTTTTATCACACATACGTATATATAAAACATAGAAATAGTCTCAATGATTGTCTCATCTCATACAATCTAAATGATTATCAAAATATAGGCATAGCCCTTACATCAATCAAACAAGACCACATATAGGTCATACAAAATTATAGTACTCCATTGAAAAGGAAAGGAACGAAAGATTCATTAGGATCATAACTAGTTCGTAAGATAGATGATGGAATTGCCTTCGGAAGTTGAGGACCTACGCCACTTGTATGAAAGGAAGAATCCAAGCCTTCATCAATGTCGCCTTCAATGCTCTTCATTGGCCGGAACGTAAAATGTTTGGGAAAAGGGAAGAAAATGGGGTTAGTACTCAACATGTACTAAGAATGAGACCTTATACACACACACAAGCAAAATATGCACAAAAGGGACTTTTGTAAAAATATGGCATTTTACCCGTTTAGGGACCAATGCAAAGTAGAGAAAATCACATCAACAGTCTCAACAAGTAATACTTTTCAATCTCAACAAGTAATACTTTTCTCAACATACTTGAAACAATGATTTATTACAACCATATCATAAAGGAACAATATCATAAGAATAAATAAGAGTCAATCATATCATAATAAGAAAGACAACTACTCATGAGTCCTTATCAAGTCAACAAGTTCAATGACAATGCAAATCCCCATAAACTTCCTAAATCAAGTATCCTCAACAAGAAACCATGACTAATGTCCAACTTTACATAACATAACAATTAGGTTTACATTTGATCATATATTAACATTATGACCGAAGGCATATTCATAAATGAACTAATCAACATATATTTTCAACAATGTGCCACAATCATCATTTATACATCATATATAATCATAGAATAAACATATATAAGAAACTCCTCCTAAGAATCCCCTTAAGGATAACTAGTGGAATGTTTAGGTAGAGTCGCATTCTCCTGACTAGACTAAGATAGACCGCTTAAGCTATCTAAGTTAGAGTTAAAGTCTTTTAATTACTTTTACCTTTTGGGAATATCATGATCTACAACAAAAAAGGTGAACTACTTTAAAAGGTTGTAAAAAACATGAAACATAGCAACTGTGTGGATCCACTAGCTAGTATTTTTATAGGGGAAACATAGGTCAATAAAATAAGAGATTTTTTGGGATACTTTTTATGCGCCATGCATTAGAGTCTCCACTCTCAAAACTAATATAGTTTTCCTACCTTCCCTATGTGGGAAAGGACACTCCTCAATCTAGTTCACTCTCTTATATGATAGAGTCCCTTTTTGATATGTCGTTAAGCTTTTAATTATCAATTATAGCTAAGTTTAGGTTATAGGGTCTACCCTTTTTATAATAACCATTATCAATAGCTCAATAAGAATTGTGTGAGTATAATACCTTTCATCTTAATCTATATATGTGAGCTTAACACATTAGCATATCAAGGCATGTTAATAATTTTCACCATCCTTATATCACATGCACCTTAATCAACCTCACAACATAGTCAATACATATAGATTTAACATCAAACCACCTTATAATAATAATATAAAACATACTCAAATGTAATATCATGGCTTAACAACAATTAATCACAATTGGAATTAAGCATAGAGCGTCTAAGACTTACCCAGTCTTCCTCATAGTCTATCATCAAGGTCTTACCATTAACTCATAACTCAACCCAAATTTTGGGGAGTAACATCATCACAAAATGATTACCAATAATATAACAAGGCCAATTGAATCTCTATAACACAATTCAACACTAGATCACAACATAAGACAAGTATATTTGTTAATTTCACATTACAATTCATAACCTAAATCACATCTCATGAACTAGCATGATAGGCCAATAATTCATCTTAATTTAATTATAATAACACCATATGATAGTTATCTAATCAATAACCAAGTCAAATATAGCTCAAGCTCACAACCTAGGGTTAGAGATTGAGTATCATGTTCTTCAATTTAGACAAAACCATAAAAAATTACAAGAAACCAGTTAAAATACGTGTTAATCTATTCAATATAACGTAAATAAATCAACAACAATTCAATTCACAACTTCTATTTCGTAATTAAATGAAACGCATAAGAAAACTAAATATTTTAAACACATTTTGGAGGAAACCTTTGAGGAAAGAGTCCCAAAGGTAAATTAGAACCATACCTTAACGTTTGAAAAAAAATGATGGTGAATTTGTCCCTTTCCAGCCCCCAAATCTTAAATCCTTGCTAATTTTCAATGGTGATTCCAAGTAGAGAGAGAAAGAAGATAGAAGGAAGAGAGTTTATTTATGAGTTGTCTTTTGATTAATGAGGGTTGAGGGTATTTTTATTTGGACTTAATAAACTTACTTAGACTCCCTTACACCCCCGATTATTCACCTAATCCCCCAACTAACTTAAATAAATAAGAAACTCGACACTCATAAACAAGACCTCGATAGACGGGCCGTCTGTAAGTCGACGTTCCCTCACCCCCTCCATCATGAACTCCATCGATGAGTTTAGAGACTGTGCAGGCAGAGACCTTCTTCAACTTGTCTAAGTCTATGACGATTGTGGCCTCGACGTCCCGCCAGTCCACACACAGGCTGTAGGTGGTCACGTTGTTTCCCATTATCGAGGCTCTGTTTCTTAAAACACAAGGGTCCTCCTCAAGATCCCTTGGTTGGTCTTTGGTTAGTCGTACTCGGACGTTTTAACCACGAAACAACTCAACACTTATAAGCTACCCTTTCACCTATTTTCAAACATTTTCGACTCTTAAAAGTTAGTCAAATAGGCTAAGGCACACTAATACCCCTTTGAACCAACTTTCCGAATGCCGAGGATGTTCTTGAACGTTTTGGTTCTTAAACATCCTTAATGACCTATATTCATTAAGATGGACTTACAAAAAGTACTTAAACGTTATGACACCTACTTTAGGATTTATGGCATGTCTTGGATTTTCAAGTTGTTATAATAAGATACTAAACATGCCGGTTCAATAGTCAAATAACCAATCTCTTGGGCCAAAAGAACACAGGCAAAAAAACCCCAATAGAGGATCTTGAGTTGGGCTTCTCAGATTTCACTCTACCACTCTTTTTCCATTTACCCCACCCTAAAAAAAGCATGCAATTGTCCCTAATGCATAAAAAATATAAAATAATACCCTCGACGCATAGTGCCGAAGATCAATAAGCCGGCGGGTCCGCTTTCTCGGAACCCACTCCATCAATAGTTGGGAAACTGTCAGTAGTATCCACATCAATGTTAGCACCCTCACTGGTACTTTCTGGAGAGTACTATCACATCTAGATTAAGAGTTTTTATGAAGATGAATCCTCCTATCTTTTGGGCTCTAAGGTCAGAGAAGATCCCCAAGAGTTTATTGATAAGGTGTATACGATAGTGCATGCTATGGGAGTAACTTCTAGAAAGAAAGCAAAGTTGGCTTTGTTTAAAATGAAATATGTTGCTCAAGTATGGTACACACAATGTAAAGGCAATAAGACAGTGGAGTCGGGTCCTATTGAATGGGAAGAATTAAAGGAAACTTTTGTTGGAAGGTTATTTCCCCGTGAAAGGACGGAGGTTAAGGTAGAGAATTTTATCAATCTTAAGCAAGAAACTTGAGTGTTAAGGAATACTCTTTGAAGTTCTCTATGTTTTCTAAACATACTCCGTCCCTTGTGTCTAACTCTAAGGATGATATGAGTAGGTTCATGATGAGTGTCACCGATATAGGGAGGGAAGAATGTTGTACGGCCATGCTACATGATGATATGACCCTAGCTAGACTCATGGTGTATGCCCAATCAATCGAAAACTCCGAACGTAAGAGGGTGTTTAAAAATTTAAAATCGAGTTGTTCTAGTGAACAACATCAAACTAGTTCTAAAATAGAGCTCAAAATCTAAAAAACCTAGGAGTGCTAACGTGAAATTTTAGAGAGGCGGTGGTTCTCAAAATGGAATGGCTACATGTGTCACTTTTGGAAAAGGCACTATGGGAAATGTCTAGCCGGTACTAGTTGTTTTTTTGGTCGTGGGAAGGGCGATCATAAGGTGAGAGATTGTCCTACATTGCGGCTAGAAGAAGAGATAGTAAGAAAGTTGCTCTTAATGTTGCAAAGGATGATGCTCTAAATATGAGGCATTTCTATGCACTCAACACTAGAGGAGCAAAGTCAAATGAGGATGGTGATGATGGTAAGTCCTTGTACCTCTTTAGTGTTATGAGTTCTTTCTAAGTGGGGGAGTATGGTGAGTAAAAGAGTCTTAATTTATTGTCTCATCTCTTTTATTCAACTCAAGCTTGAGAGTAGAAAATCATGGAAATAAGTCGCATATGCATTGTGTTTAGGGGTCTTGTGGAAATTGAATTTCATTTATTCCTTGCATTATGCCTTTTATGAAGTTATGATTATGATGTAAGATGTGTTTATGTGGTTGTACATTCCATATAGCATGTTTCCATCATGAATTCCCTTAAAGTTACATTTTTGAAAAAAAAAGTTGAAAAATTCATTGTAGCATTGCCTGCTTAGTGTGAAGATTTAGAAAAATTAACTAATTCATTCTTTGGACTAAAATTGTTGTAATGTAGTTAGAATTGATTTATATGAGCTTAACATTAAATATAAAATGAGCTTTTGCTATTTGGGATGAAGAATGTGAGTTTATAACATAATGAGTTAGAGAATATATTCTTGTTCCTTGTTGTGTTGTGATTCTATTGATTATGTGAAATTGATGTTTTCTTAGATGTTTCCATTGTATAATGTGTTATATGATATTTCCATGAATTGCTAATTTAATATCTATAATTGGAAATGCGAAATTAATAGTTTATTAGATATTTGGATTGTATAATGTGTGTAGTTTTCTATGGTATATTCATTGATGTATCAATTATATTGAATTGATATATAGGTTGTCTAAAGTTGATGAAATTATATTTTATTGACCTAGTTTCATTGAATTTCATAGTTTATGTATTAAATTATTAGTTATTGCCTTGGGTAAAGGCTTTATGGTATTGAATTGCGATGATTTGACAAAGGATTGAAGTGTTGAGAATAGGGTGGTGGTACGCTGATCTAATTCCTTTATTTTATATGTATTATACTTCAATTCTGTTGTGATTGGTATGGTGCACTTATTGTTGCGGTTTTATGTGCTTTACTTGCCAAATTTATGGCCTTGTCGGGGTTACTTTATGTATTATGATGATCACGACCTTTTTGCCAACTACTTGAAGTATTATAATGATTTGTGTAGTTTATTTATGTGATGTATGAGCATATATATATATATATATATCTACATGTGAAGTAATGTGAAAGTATGTGTTCTTTTTCTGTATATTGGGAGTCATGAAGAGCTATCTTAGTCGCCATTGAAAGGTTGCCCTAGTGGACCTCTTCGGTAGGGTGAATGTGATTGGGTTATGAACTAGATAAGGAAACATCTACAAGTGATCCTTTAGTGTCAATTATTCTATGAGAACAAAGGAAAGCACATAGTAATTATGTTAAGGGAAGTAGCTCTACTTGATACGGACTCTAAACTAAAATGTATCTCCATGTGAGAATTAAACTACAGTGCATAAAAGCCCTTCATATTCCTTAACCATGAGCCTACATGGGATGTGTCCTAATTCTACCCTTGACAAGTAGAACACCCTCATCAGAGTAGGTTAGAACTCTTGATTCCATGTCTAGTGATCATTGTTTATGTTAGTTATTGTATATTCTCATCAAATGTTATACATACTAGAATTAGAAAACTTCTATGAAGTTTAGGTGGTGGTATAGGACGCTATTTAAAAATCGTACAATATGGTTTAAAGGTTTTAGTTGGAGTTCCTAGGTGTTGTCCAAGACTAATTGTTGAATGTCCTAATGTGAGGAATGAGTCTATAAATGAACTAATGAATGTAATGACTTAAGTTAAGAAAGCATTTAAAATGAATAAGTACTCATCTAGAGTAGTTAAGGGTTATCTAGTTAAGGTGTGAAAGGGGAATAAGAATGATCACTTCGTATCTTAGCTAGATAAGTCTTAAGAATGACTCTAGTTAGGAAAGATGTTGTTTTTGTGGACATGATATAAGCCTTAGGTAGTTTTAAGGATTATATAGGTAATCTTGAAGAGGTCAATCACAGACGTTATCTTCTTGATTTACTTAAGTAAGTCTTTTGATAACCTTTTGAAGGAGAATGTCATCCTATCTATATGTTGTTGTGTTAAGTTTGAATAATTGTATTTTAGGTTGTCTATAGGATCTCCTAAGTGTGTGTATAAGGGATTGTATGAGCTATTACTTCACAAATCACTCAAGTGAGACATCGAAACGCTTTTGGTAGAAGGATCTCATGTTGATGTGTATGATGTCTTGTAAGTTTGTGTTTATCTCATTATAGGTTGTCTTAAAGAGAATTTGGTGTGCCCAGAGACATTGTATAGCCGACCTCTCTTTGTCTTAATTAAGTGAGCCGTAGGATAACTTTTAGTGGGAGTATTGCATGCTAGAATGTATCTCAGAAGAAGTTGATAAGTTTACTGGTGACGTTCACTGTAATAGTGAAGTTAGTTCACTATAATGTTGCTAAAGATTTACTAAATTGCTTAAATGTTATGTTATGTGTTACTAAGGTTTTAAATGTTATTTTTATGATTATGATAAGATGTTTTAAGGAATAAGATGCATATTTCTAATAAATGTCTGTTTTCATGATTTTATGCATTATGTCATACTTAGTACATGTGTTTGTACTAATTCCATGTTTTTATCTATCTCTATTGTGGTTAATAGGTGAAGAGAATTTGGGAAGCAAGGATTGGATCATAGCATCATTAAAGTAAAGTTGATGTTTTCCCTTATTTGAATCGAGGGCATAATATGTCTTTTATTTCCTTTATTGAAGTATTGTAATAGACTATATATTTCGATATTTTGAAATATGGGCCATATCCCAACTATTCTCGTGTCAAAGCTGTGATGAGTTTGAGACTTATTATTTATTATGATTTCTAATAAAAGATATTATAAAGGTATTCTAATGTTTTTTTGAAAAGTTTTAATTCAGCACTAATTTTCATTATGTATATGAGATGAACGATATGAAAAGGGCTTGTACAAGATCTCTGAGAGGTCAACTGCACTTGTTGTATTTCGAGAATGCCATATCTTCTATGGTGTGGTTTTTTAATGTGAAACATATCAAGTTCTACTAGTTAAATATGAGTAAATCTTTTGGGAAACATTATAGGACAATTCCTATATACTCTTTTTGCAACAATCAACTCCTCAACCGGGGGTAGACACTATAAAAGGTTCATTCAGAATGTCGGGTGAGATTTCAAATTCTTAGCTATCAAGAGAGTAACAAAAGATAATGTAGCGCATGGATAAAGTAAAGAGTATACATCATTGGTAAAGACTTTCTACATACCGTTCACCTCTTCGGGAGAAGTCTCTTGCTCAACCCTAGAGCGGAGAGCATAGGAGTGATTCTTCTTCGAAGAATCATTAGCACTACTTGGTTGAGCTTGACAACTACCCTTGTATTGATTCCTCACATTAGTGAAATCTCAAACCTTGTGCTGGGTTTTACCACAACCAATACAATTATCCGTTGTCTTAAGGCAATCACCGTAGTGTGAATGCCACACTTTTCACAAGTGGGCTTCTCTGGTAGTGAACTAGCACCCTTTCTATTTTTAGACTTAGGGTTAGACACCTAATCATAATGAGACTTAGTTAACATATAAGGAACTTGATTAGACACCCTCTTATTGAAATTAGGCTTGCTTAGAATGTCAAACCTACTCTTAGAAGAACCACCATCAAAAGATCTTGCCCTCTTGGCATCTCTACTCTTCCTCTTAACCCTTGCCTCTTCCACTTGTTGAGCATGAATCATGAGACAAGAAATGTTCAGATTGCCATGTAATATATCTTAATGATAATCGTCTTATAAATCATCAGACACCTCCATCACAAAAATGACTCATTTCATCCCTAGTTTCGTACACCAAAGAAGGAGTATACTTTGATAATTCAGTGAAATTCAAAGATTATTCAAGAACACCCATACCTCCTTGAAGAAGTTGATGAACTCCACCCCCTTGACTTCCCTCTTCTCACTAGGAAACAACCTATCAAGAAAACCCTTCTAGAACACCTCCTAAGTCACCTGTCCTCCTTTAAAGGCCTATTGTCCCTCCGTTGGACTTACCAAGTTTGGGCCACATCTTTGAGTTGATAAGTGACTAACTCAAACTTCTCATTAGTAGACAACTTAATAGAATAGAGAATCTTAAAAACTTCATCAATGAACTCTTGGGGGTTTTCTTCTACCTTAAACCCATAGATAGACGGGGGATTCATCCTAGTGAAATCCCTTAGAGGAAAGTCCATCGTATATGCTTATTGATGAGCTCGGGGTACAACCTCTCGATTACATTGGGCCGTCATAACTTGGGCTTGAGTAGTGGTGGCTTGTACTGCGGCTGTAATGGCTTGAGCCATTTTGAAGAGTGCAGCCCTTGTGGCACCATCCGTAAAAGAGTATCGACCGGAGCTTTGTCATCATTCATGTCTTCATCAAGATGAGGGACTTGATAATTACAGGGAGGAACTCATGCATTAGCAATCTCTTACACAAGCCTCCGTGCCGCATTATTTAATGTATTCATTGTGTATAATCTCAATAAAAGGATTAGATTCTAAAACCACATAGAGTTAAACTCTACAGGCACGATATTAGACTTCAAAGAAAGTAAGAGTTTCCTATGCATCGCATAGGTTCCTATTAATAAGTGTGGAACGCTTCACAAGTTTGAATATGAACTTACATAGAGATGGTTAAAAGAGACATTGACTCAAATATATTCAACGTCATGCTCTGATACCAAGTTTATCACATCGACGAATATCCGCTAGACGTAATCGGCATTGTCGTACTCAATTAGGACTAAGACTAGGCTTTTTGCATACATTATTACATTTACAGCTCAAATTTAGCAGAAATTTTCATACTTATCATTACATATATTTGGATATTTACATAGACTTCTATTCACAAGTATGAACATTCGATATGGATTCGCCTTAGCTGGGAATCATCTCTTTTCGGTGTGGGGATGACACTTGATTTCATGAGTAACTCACATGATCTAGATTCATTTTAAGAATATAGCCCCCAACCCGAGAGCTCCCATTCCTATACTTAGTTCTATTTTTAGTCTTTTTCTTCTACTTGTTGTGTAGTTCAATAATTCCTTTTGTCCTATGTTTTATTTATAAGTGCAATGATTTATTGTAGTCTCATACTTACAATTAATCAAGTAAGTAATCCAAGGACTGAGGAAATATTTCACTACTTTACAATGAGTCATTCGTTACTCTATGTATTCATTAACATTTCATAAGCCAGTTTCTGTTGGGTATGCCATCTATTTCATTACTTTCATGTTAGGGAAGTTATGAGGGTTTTAGTTGTCGTGATGTTTTTATTTCACTTTATTGGCATTATATAAGAAGTCATTATAAGCCAATCTTATTTGGCCTTGCCCATTATTTGCTGAAACTTAATAAGTATTGATATTATCTATTAACATTCTTAAGATCTTCTTCATATATCATGTCTTTCTTGCTTTCATAGAGACATCATTGGAAGTAAGATTATGCGAGCTAACATGAAATCCAGTGTGTTCCCCACACCGAGAAGAGGTGATTCACCAATTAAAATCAATCTTGATCATGTGAGTTACTCATGAAATCAAGTGTCATCTCCACACCGAAAAGAGGTGTTTCCCAGCTAAGGCGATCCATATCGAGTGTTCAAACTTATCATTCACAAGTTTTTATATCAAAACATTTAAATAAACTGAAATTACCTATCTAGTAAATCTTATTAACAGGTTCTTTAGGAATAGACCAATTTTGTAAACGCATATCTTCTTTAGATATAGAGCAATTAACAGAGTTAACAACATTGTTGCTATTCATGAGAACAAACGGTTGTCTTTAGGCATGAAAGAACTTCAAGGATAAGAAATATGTTAGAAATAATTTTAACAAAGACTATCCGACTAATGAAAGATTACAATTGGTTCTTAAAATCAATAGAAATTAAAAACAGTGATTATCTAAATAATACAAAAGTTAAAAATGACTTAAATCAATTAAATAGGCTTTGGATGTTACTCACCATAAGATCGGCTGCCTGCCCCTCCAGGGTCTTACTGGACTTACTATGATCTACCATTAGACCGTCCAAATCCTTAAGCCGGAGATTAATCGGCATGCTCAGACTTATGCATAGACAAAACCTCAACATGATAATAAGAAACTCTGGCCTATAATTTTAAGTCTAAATTAACAGAGTATATTATACAAGATAATAACTAGGATAATTTCAAGAGATTATAAAGAATCAAATATAATAATTCATAAGACGGATAATAGCTAAGTTAAGATTATTTCATTATCTAACGTATCACATGATTTCTATCAGCCAAGACAACCAAAGAATTTAGCTACTCATGCTAACAATGGGTGCCATTAACATGGCTCTGATACCATAAAAAGGGGATCGTGCAGAAGAAAAATAAAGAAGACAAATTAAATAAAGAACTTACTAATGAAGAAGACTTTATTCCATCATAATCTTAGTTTTTACATAGAAAAGAAAGCATTCGAGAAGAGTTTTAGTGTAAATTTTTCGATCCTTGAATTGATAAATTACAATGCCTTATATAACTAAAAGATTGGAGACAAAAGGATAAGGAAATCTAAAAGCTCTTCTTCTGATTGGCTGTTGATTTCCATCCATTGCTTTTGATAAAGCAAAATATCTTATCTTCTTTTGAATAGAATCTTTATATTTATCTTTTGATAAAGCTATGTCTGCCAGAATGTTTCTCTTTAATTATGCTCCACTTCTTTTTCTTTTGAAAAGAAAGATGACGGTTGCTTTTTCTTTTGGTGATGAATTAATTTCATCCTGATTATGTTAACAAAGATTCTGTCTTCTTTGAGACTCCTTTGCTTCTTTCTTAGATAATTCCGATCTTTTAGATCTCTATCAGAAAGACTAATTATTCCGGTTCTTAACAACATCAATTAGAACATTAATCAAAAGGATTTACATATGAATTTTCTAAAGCCTTTGGATTTAGCATATCACCATTGTCGTCACCTAGCGAGGATGCTTCCTCGAGGAGTTCATTAATAGCAACTTTATCTGGATTTTTATATAGTTTTGAAAGAGCTTTATCAAAGTCTCTTCTTTAACTCACTCTTTGAGGGTGAAGTCTTTTGTACTATTTTATTACCTGAAGATGTAGTTATTTCCTTCTTAGCAAGAGACCATCCATTGACTGAGATTTCTTTGGAAAGAAATTTGAACCTGTCAAAATCTGCGATAACAAACATCCAACTTATGATATAAGATAAACGTTTTTAATAAAATACATACAGAGTTCAATGTTCTATGGGAGGGTTGATATGCCTTCATTGATTTGAAATTGAGAATATTTCTCTGCAAACTGTCGAGGCATGACTTGTTTATTTCCACCAAAGAAGCTCCACCATTCGTAAAACCATCTTGGTATAATAGAGGTTACAATCTCTTGACAATACTTTACAAACCATGTATGAGTGGTTGGTCTAACATACAAGAAATTTAGCCATGCATTCTTGTAGTCAAACCAATTGTAGGTTTGTGGATTAAACCTCTTAGAGAGATTAATTGGAGTCTGTAGATGATCTACAAGCCAGTTGTAAGGAGATAGAATCTTCTTGATGGTGAACTTTGAGTAGGCAATACTATCTGGATCAGACTTGTCCGCCAATTCATGTTCAATTTCTAATGACCCGGTATCTACAAGGATGTACTCGAAATACCTTCTGGTTTTTAAGAAATTATTTGTGTCGACGTAATTCCTATTTGTATAGATAGGCTTCAAGAGATGTTTATCTCATAACCTTCATATTCCTTGTCTAAGGCAAGAACCAGGAAAACATTTAGAGAATTCATTTCAAATTTTTGTTTCTCTTTGGAAGCTTGCTTTGCGCTACTGGGAGTAATTGCTTAAGCAAAACTCCGAGGCTGCTTCATTGTGTAGCAGTCGCTTGTTTGCTTCTGAGAGAATCAGAGTTCTCTGCTTGGTGAAGAAGAAGTGCTGGGCTCTAGGTCTCTTGAAAAAGGCTTCTTTAAGACCAACATTCCTGTTGAAAAACTCTGGGGAAGTTCTAGAGGATTGATTGGTGGTAAACACGACAGTGCTGAGTGCCTGTTTGGATCAGGTCTTGTTGAATTCAATTCAGGCCTTCTTGCAAATGGGCCTGTTCTTGTTAGGTCACTTGGGCTGGACCTGTCTGGTTGCTTGCCTCTATGGGCCTGATTTGTGGCCTCTTATTTTCCCTTTGAGAATTCTCTGGTTAGAAAATCTGGCATAGAATTATTTTCGCCTTTAATAAATTCGATTTGAAAATCGAAGCTTGATAATAAGGCATGCCATCTGGCAAAGATCAGTTTAGAAACAATATTTTTAACATCTTTCTGGAGGATCTCTTTAGCAGATTTGCAATCTACTCTAAGCAGAAATTCTTTATTAACTAAGTCTTCTTGAAACTTAGTAATACAAAGAACAATGGCAAGGATTTCCTTTTTAACTGTGCTATAATTTCTTTGTGCGGAATTCCAGATTCCAGAGGAATAACAAACTAATTGTTCAGGAGAATCGGGGTTTTTTTGTTTAAGAATACCACCGTATCCAATGTCAGAAGCATCAGTTTCAACGATCATAAAGAAATCAGGGTTAGAGATACCTAGACAAGGGAGGTTCTTAACCATATTCTTAAGAAGGATTACAGCCTTAGTATGTTCATCATTCCAAGGCAAAGGATTCTTTCTTAACCTGTCAAAGAGATGTTTTTAGAGATACCTAGACAAGGGAGGTTCTTAACCATATTCTTAAGAAGGATTACAGCCTTAGTATGTTCATCATTCCAAGGCAAAGGATTCTTCTTTAACCTGTCAAAGAGAGGTTTGCAAATGTGTCTAACTTTTTGAATAAAGTCAGCTACATAATTAAGACTTCCAAGAAATCTTTACAACTGAGTTTTATCCAAAATGACATTGGGGAATTTATCAGAAAACTCAATGGATCTGCAAATAGGTATGTAGGTGCCTTGATAAAGATCATATCCTAAAAATCTGATTTTTGTTTGAAATAATTTTATTTTCTTAGTACTAATGACTAAACCATTGTGCTAAATAATTTTAAAGAAGTATTTAAATGTTTAAAATGAGAATCAATGTCCTTGGTGAAGATTAATACATCATCAATATAAACAATTGACATATGACTAATATGATTGAAAATGGAATTCATAATGTTTTGAAATTCTGAAGGGGCATTTTTAAGCCCAAAAGGCATGAAATTCCATTCAAATTGTCCAAACGGGACTTTGAAAGCTGTTTTTTATTTATATTTTTCGGCAATTTGAATTTGCCAAAAATAAGATTTTAGATCAAATTTGCTATAAATATTTGCTTTAAAAGCTCTTTTTAAAAGATCCCTTTTGTTAGGAATCAGGTAATGAATCCATTTTAAAACGGAATTTAAAGGTTTATAATTAATAACCAATTTGGGTGAACCTCGTTCTTGTTCAGCTGCATTGTTAACATAGAAAGCTGAACAACTCCAAGGTGATGAAGAAGGACAAATAATTTTATTATTCAAGAGGGTATGAATTTCTTTTTACAGATTTTCATTAATTCATGGTTCATTTGAATAGGCCTAGCTTTTTTGAAGATGGCTTTTTCATCAAATCCATCAATATATGGTAAATCTATAACATGAGATTTTCTATCCCAAAAACTATTTTGAATTTCTGAGCAAATTTCTTTTTCAAAAATCTTTTGAAGACTGGAAATTTTAGTAACCATCTCAGGGGTTTTTAAAATTTGCTCAATTTTCTTTATTTGAATATCATCTTTCAAAAAACAAATCTGGTTGATTTTGAAAGCAGTTTTCTGATGTAAAAATTTACTTTCTTCAAGAGAAAGTGTCTTGATAAAAGGAAAGGAAATTAGCTTTCCTAAAATTTTTGTTTTGATTGAATCAAAATCTGAAATATAAGGTTTAATTTGGGTAATAAATGGTATACCCAAAATAATTTCCTCATTAATGTTTTTTGTTATAACAAAATCATTAGAAAGGCAGATACCATCATTGCAGATATGAGCATTAGAAACCTTATAATTTATAAAGATACGCTCACCAGTCGCGCTATATAATTTAGTAGTTCCCTTTTGGAGGTACTTGGTAGGGATAAGTCCTTCAACAATGCAATTACGATCTGCACCACTGTCTAACAAAGCAATTTTGTTAAGTACAAAATTAGAATTAACAATTGGTTTGATCATAATATGAGAACTTTGAGGTCTCACTTTAGTAATCATACTAATACCTGCGTCATTAATACCTTTTGGTGAAGAAGGGGCTGATTGATCAGATGATTCTTCATCCTCTGAGGTATCAATCTCTTTTTCTTTAAGAGACACTTCATTTTCTTTAAGAAATTGTTTTGCTAGAGCATCAATTTCAATTTTGTGAAGTCTGGACTTTACTTCACGAACTTCTTCTTTGAGGACGTTTACTTCTTCTCAAAGATCACTGATAGAAGATTCTTCCTTCTTGCTTGAGTATCTTTGCATGATTTGTTTAATGCTAAAAGGGGTTACATTCCGTGTAATCTCTTTATCATTTTTCTTGATAACAAGCTTATGGAGTTCTAAAAGGTAGTTTCGTTGGGCATAATCATCTTTAATGTGCTCGATTGTAACAAATAGAATTTTTGCAGAGTCTTCAGAGAGAACTCCAATGGATTGGTTGTCACAATGACAGAATGCTCCTTCGCAGTTGCATTCGTGTTCACTGTCATTTGTGTCATCCTGAGCAACATTGAGGAACTCTTCGTCCTCAGTTTCTTCTTCTTCTTCTGAAAATGACTCTGTTTCTTCTTCATTTAAAATAGTTAGAAACTTTTCTTTAGTTTCTTCGTCTATTTGAAGAAGACTGATTTTCTTTTTCTTTTTCTTGTTTCTAGGACAATCAGGAGACTTGTGTCCTTACTTTCCACAGGTCCCACATTCATCGGAAGTTTTATGAGAAGCCTTCTTGCTTCTCCTTCCTCTGGAATCTGGAATTCCACACAAAGAAATTATAGCACAGTCAAAAAGGAAATCCTTGCCATTGTTCTTTGTATTACTAAGTTTCAAGACGACTTAGTTGATAAAGAATTTCTTCATAGAGTAGATTGCAAATCTGCTAAAGAGGTCCTCCAGAAAGATGTTAAAAATGTTGTTTCTAAACAGATATTTTCCATATGGCAGGCCTTATTATCAAGCTTCAATTTTTAAATCGAATTTATTAAAGGCAAAAATAATTCTTTGCCAGATTTTCTAACCAGAGAATTCTTGAAGGGAAAATATGAGGACACAAATCAGGCCCATAACGGGCAAGCAACCAGCCAGGTCCAGCCCAAGTGACCTAACAAGAACAGGCCCATTTGCAAGAAGGCCTGAATTGAATTCAATAAGACCTGATCAAAACAGGTAGTAAGCATTGGCGTGTTTACCTCCAATCAATCCTTTAGAACTTCCCCAGAGTTGTTCAACAGGAATGGTGGTCTTAAAGAAGCCTTTTTCAAGAGACCCAGAGCCCAGCACTTCTTCTTCACCAAGAGGAGAACTC